CATTTAAAAAGCAAGATCTATGCGACTCAGCCAACATCATTAGAAGACCTGCCTTCCAAATTACTCCTCAAATATTGCAAAATGTGCGGCAACGTTTTGAGCAAAATCTTTATTATTGCATGGAGAGTCATGGTGGCCATTTTCAACATTTACTTGCCTAACGGGTTAGTTCATTCTTCATTTTCAAATTACTTTTGCCAAATGTATTGATCTCCACTAATGATGATGTATTAGTTTTATTTAAGCTTTAAATTTAAGACCTTTAAAATAAGGTATCACTCGACCCCAGTTTCCATTTAAGATTTTGGGGGTGGTGTCAACCCCGCTTAGGGGGCTGCACGTGCTAACGTGATTTTTCGCCAAACTTATGTCCCCCTCGAAAACAAAATCGACGGGTCTGAGCGTTTTTCAAAAAAAAACTGATCTGCCAGTAAATGCGTCTGTTTCGTTCTCGATGCGCCACCCTGTATAAAGCAACATACTAGCCAATCAGCAATTTGCATTTCGAGAATATGTCAACACAACGCCTTGCACTGGTGTATTTCTAGATTTAAAAAAGCGTTTGACGCAGTTGATCATTCTCAATTACTTATTGCTATGTGGCGCATAGAGATAAGAGGGACAGCACACTAGCAGTTACCTACAGAACAGGAAGCAATGCGTCAGTATCCACAGAGCTTGCAGTAATTTTCAAAAAATAAACTGTGGCATTCCTCAAGGTACTATATTAGGTCCACTATTATTCAATATATACTTAAATGGTTTGTACGATATCCAAGGAGCTAAAAAAAACGTATATTTTGCCGACGATACGATTATTCTTTATAGTGCAGAAAACTGGAATCAATGAGAAAATTAACTTAAGATAAATTGGTTTAAATCTCCTCTTCTAACAGTAAGACATACTTTATGCCATTTTCATCATACCGCAAAGATTTGCCAGACTACCAAACATTGTATTGTTTTAATGAATACGCTAACGAAGTAATTTTAATGAAAAACACTGTAAAGTACCTAGGTGTCTATAAAGACCCACATCTTCGTTGGGATACACCCATGTACAATAAAATTTGCAAAAAATTGATTTTTTTTCAGAAAATTGAAAATTATAAGCAGTTTCTGACGGAAGCACAATCAAAAATTCTTCATTATGCATTAGCCGAAAGTCATATAAATTATGGTATCAAAATTGGGGAGCAGCCAACAAAACTTACATTGTTGCTCTAGAAAGCACAGACACTAATTTCAAAAACAACACACAATAGACCAATATGCATCCAACGGAAACTTTGTATGTTAAAACTCTAATACGTACTTGATATCAGACAACTATGTTTGGCCACAGACCAACATAAAAATAAAAAAAATTGTGTTGAGTACAAGTATCTGACAAGAAATAGATATGATTTACTGGAAATTTCCCAACCAGGAAAGAACTATTTGCTGCGATGTTGGACTTTTCTATGCCCAAGATCTTTTAACCTTCTACAACCTGAAATAAAGTGACAAACAGACATTCACACGTTTAAAAAGTAGTTAAAGAAATGGATGATATCTGCTCGTCGATTTAAAATTCATCAAGCTATCGATATAAAAAATACTTATTTTGAATAAACTTTTAAAATAATAAACTCTTCTATAGCCGCTCTTACGCGAGAAATCTCAAAAGAAGTGTCAGTGTATCTGGTGGGTAAAGTATTCATACCAATAATCTAAATATATGTTGCTATTTTAGCATATTTTGCTGCAAGTCAGGATTCTGGATGTATCACGGTTCTTGTTGCGCTAATGTTAGAAGCGAATGAAGCGGACATATTTACTTATGTGACGTCTCTTTGAATTCAACAGAGCTCTTCTCTATGATCTAGTTTAAGGGACCGTTTCAGGAAGTCATGATTACGAAGGCTGCATTTTATAACCAAAAGTCTAAAAGTACCGGATGTAGTGACTCAGCAGGAGGCTTTGTAGCAACAGGCTGTATGGTGGCTGACATCAGAGATGAACTAAAGCTAATTCAATTTCTTGTCCTTGCTTTTGATATCCCTCAGGTCCTAAATTCCTGGAAAAACCTGAACCCATAGAGAATTTGTAGACGAGTTTTAGCTTTCCATTACAATCGTAGCTGATGCGTCTTCCTCTTCTTCCCAGGTCTCAACTTTAACGTTTTTTGGCATATTACTGACATCATTTCCAGCCAATAATAAATCCGATCCGAATAGACTGGACATCCTACTACTCTGACTAAAATTGTGAAAATATGCAGTGCCTGATGGTACAAATAATATATGGTGCAGTTCTCTTAATGTTCTCTTTTTGAATTCTAGGAAACTTGTGGCTGATAAAACTGATGAAAAAAAAAGCATGAGCAATTTGATGGAAATAGATATTTGTGACATAACCTCAAAATAGAACGCCGTTCTGAAGGACAGGAAAAATAAAAATCAACGAGACCACAAAGGCGTCCTACAATTGTAGGCACGACTGAACAAATACTTTGCTTTTGTCAAATACTGAAGAACTAAAATTAAATACATCCAAATTTACTGATTTTTATGATGAGGTCCCAGAAACAGAATTACTTTTGGAGATACCTACTGCGAATACACTCGAAAGCCGCTAATGTTACAGTTTCTGATTGGGTATTTACCTAGATTTTTTTAAGTTTATTCTAGTACGGGATTTTACAGAATCTCTTCCAAATCTTATGATTGCACTAAAATTGTTCATGTCAGTTTGCGTGTCCGTTTCTTCATGTGAAAAGAGTTGCAGTAAACGAAAATTAATAAAAAACTATTTGTCAAAGCTAGAGAGAAGAAATTTTAGTTATGAGAAAAAAATGTTTTTTCTGTCTTGGTTTTTATTGTTCTGTTATTTGTTCAATATTTGAAATATAAATATTAAATGATCCATGACGTTTATAAACCATATAAAATTTATTGCTTTTGACCGGGTGCCACCCAAGGTAGCTAAGCCACTGCGATCTTCGCATTTCTTATCACGCTTAAGGGAGAGAGAGAGGTACTGTGACCGCGAAAATATTAGAATTTCAAATAATAAGTATTATATGCTTTGCAATGTCTACGACACGTAAAGCCTACCACCTATTTCC